AAAAAAAAAAAATTAAACTTGAAAATAGATCAAAGAAAAAAAGGCCACATGGAGTGAAAATGGTTCATTGCTATAATGACTTCCCGTTCACATTTTTATATGGTAGTGAAAATTTGACAAATTAAGTTTTATTATGAAAAGAAAAGAATTAAAAAGAATTTTAAATTGAATTTTTTTTTATCTATAATGTAAATAATAATAAAAAAATTCTCTCCGTGCATAAAGACTTTTGCCTCTGTGTACGGAGAGACTTTTTTTTTTAATATATTTGTGTTGTTTACATTTTAAATATATATATATATATTTTTTCAAATTGAAATTCTTTTCTCTTCAATTTTTACTTATAAGTAATTTTTTACATTTTATAGAAATATTTTCTGCCTTATTATTAGTATTTTTATTTTTTAATAATTTCAAACGATATTTAATTTTATACTAATCTTTTTATTAATATTTAATTTAAAAAATTAAATATATCTAAATATTACTTTAAATTTTAAGCTAACTTGGTGGGAGGTATGGAAAGTTGCTACACTATATAATAAGATATTAGAAGAGAAAAGAATTTTAAATTAAAAAAATTAAAAAAAATTGTCTCCACACGGAGACGTGCATGGACACGGTCCGTGTGCACGAAGAGATTTACTTTCTTTTTTCGTTTTTGTTTTTGTTTATATTATAAATTTTTTTTTTCAACTTAAAATTCTTTTTAATTCCTTTCTCTTTTTTTTTTACTCACAAGTAACTTTTTACTTCTTAGAAATATTTTCTATCTTATATTATTAGTATTTTTATTTTTTAATAATTTCAGACGATATTGAATTTTATAGTAATCTTTTTATTAATATATTAATTTTTTAAATTAAATATATCTAAATATTACTTTAAATTTTTGGTGGTAGATATGAAAAGTTACGTGTTGCAGTAAATTTAGATTGTCTTTTCTTACTGTATAATAAAATTTATATCAAGTAAGGCGAACGGTGTCGTTTTTGCTCCCCCACTTGAATTAAAAAAATTTTAAAATGCTACAGTAAGACAAAGTGGATTAACTCACTATTCACTTCTACAGTAACTTCACATTTTCCTTTCTATATGGTAGGGATAGAGATATGTTATGTAGAAAGTTAAGTAACCCTAGTTTCCTCAAAAATGTTTATTTAAACTTGATTGACATTGCAAAGTGAATTTATTGTTTTGGAATACCTTACATGTCCGCTAGGATTTTTGGTCAATCATACTTGGTGCATATCATAGTGTTCATCAAGTTTTGCATTTCATCATGTGATAGAACACAATTGGACAGTTTAAAAGGAAAAAAAAAGACAGTCTTTCACCAATCAAATCTTGACACCAAGAATGATGTCAATCATAATATATAAATATTGATGAACAAGTGGTTTTATTCTTTTTTGGTTGGGTAGCTTAATTTTTTGGATTTTGTTATTTGTACATAATGGATTATATAATATAATGTGAACGGAAAGGATTGAATGAAAAGTTAATTATGTTTGAAACTGACAAATGATAGAGTGTTATATGATATTATGTAATCTACTATATAATTTTTGATATACATGTAGCAATATCCTAATTTCTTTCCTAACTCACCTTTAATCCGATTTTTATGATTTTTTTAATACTTATTTTAACCACACATCTCTTGACTTATTTTAGAACTGTATTTTCATTTGTCTAGATAGGTTTTGATATTATTTCAAAGTATTAATGACCAATTTCAATTTGAAAAACCATTAAACATTGAAATTTGATGCCGTGGACTTGTACTATGCGAATTGCAAAAATAAATTATAATATTGAAATTTCATTTATTTTTACTCTTTAATAATTTCTCTACACAGTGCCAGAAAAATATTCTATTTCCTGGGAGTACCCCAAGTTTTTCTGATAAATTTTTATCCCAGTAATGGTAGAAGCAAATAATAATAATAATAATAATAAATAAAAAATAAAATCTTGCCCAACGGCAACCAATGGTATCATGTGCGGTCCAGATCAGTAGCCATAATCGCACATAGCTTTGCTATAGGTACCTAAAATGTCAAACTCCGAGTTACCTCTTACTCACATGAGGTCGGACCCATGCCAATAAGTGCGCGGGGACTTGTCAAATACAAATGGAAATCTCCATCACCCATTGGCATTGTTGTCCTTGTGGGCCCATCTCTCTCCCCCTACTTTTGATTAATCCATACTTTATTTATTTAAATTAAATTTTACAAATACCCATTTTTCTTTTTATTTTGCATTTTAATTAATATGCATAACGATCACTTATCAGCCCCTTTAACCGCCATTATTTCCAAATTCATTTTTTTATATACTTATTTTTTAATACATATTTATACAATAAAATATTTTATATGTAAATTTAAAATTTTTTATTTTTGACTTTTTAATTACATTTTTCTCTAACAATCACTATTCATAATTCTATTTTCGGGAGTCAAAATTGAATAGTCAAACAACTAGTACTGATTATGCGGCTGTAAATCTCCAGCTCTAACCAAAATCTAGGGTTTCCATTTTCTTAAATTTTCCTCCAAAGTTATTAAGGCTAATTCTTGGAGTTCAAGGTACGGTGTATTAATTTCTACTTGTGAATTAAGTTCTTGTAAGAATTTCCAATCATATGTTTTGTTTCTTTCGCTTTATACTTTATTTCTTCTGATTTCTGCTCGAATTGGATTCAATTGATTTCTCGGGGGAAATGATTGCAATTTAATTCCATTGGGAAGTGAGTAAAAGCTGGACAATTTTAGATGGATGGTATAGTCTCATGAGCTGGAAAGATAGTTTATTACTCTCGATCTTGATCCGAGTCTTTGTTTTTGTGGGATATATTTAAGTTTGAAGTAGACGAAAGTTTGTGGTGTACATGGATGTGGAAAGTGAGTGTTTCGTGCGTGAATCTGGGGAAGATAATGAGGTAACGAGGACCATTTCTGCCACGGAAAAAGTTGGTAATGCTGTCGATGGCACCAAAGTGTATAACAACGGGTTTTCTGTGGTGGAAAACAACGATAATATTTTCGAGGGGGTGGAGGAAAAGGGAATTGAACATAATTCACCTCCCCTTGTGGTGACATCACAAGTGCCTCCATCCCCTGTGATGATAAAAGGGAATGGGTTGAGGAAATGGAGAAGGATCAAGAGGGACCCCAACAAGGGAGGGGATAATATTTTTGAAACAGGCAAGATATTGACAGAGAGTTTGTCTAATCCAAGTCCAAATTCAAGTAAACGGATGCAATTTTCTGAGGAGATGAAGCAAAAGAGTGAGGGGTCTGTCTCATCCACTAATGCAGTGGAGAGGAATTTGAATGGTTTCTTTGTACTTGATGATTCTGGGTTGGGTATTGGTCCTACCCTTTTTGCTGGAATTGATTCAGAGAACAGTGGGGATTCGAGTAACAAGTCATCCACAGCAGCCAGTGCTCCAAACTCAAGGCATGAGATGTGGAGGGTTGCAGGGCTTCCACAAGATAAAATCAGGACGAATAGTCTGAGTGGGAAGAATTTGAGTAACTCCGCACAGCATGATCAGCAGAGAAATGGTCATATTGACACCAGTAAGAAGGCTAGAGGGGACCGTGCCAAAATCGAAAAAGAAAACTCCCGTTCGAGTGTGGAGTCTGACTTACGAACCTCCAACTTTGCTTTCATGCAGGGAACTTACTCAGTGATGTGCAATGAGATGCAAAATGGAAGTTCAATTATTCATGATGGGCAAAATGGCAATGATTTGTTGTTGGTGGTTGAAGGAGAAAGAAGGGAGATCCCTGGCTCTGCAGCTGATCAGGATCCCCTAATGGAATCTATCAATGCACTTCAGTCTGCACAAGAAGCACTAGAAAAAGGTCCGTTCATCTGACCTTTCCCTATTTGACGACGAATTGAGTGCTAAGTTACTTTTCTGTTTTCTTACATATTACTAAACTTTATTGCGTGTGATGACTAGATCACAAGTGCAATAACTTTCCATGCATTTTATTTGTGGTTTACTCAACTTGAAGTTGGCTTTAAATATCCCTAAAAAGTACAAAACTAAGGGCTTTGAGGGTCATAATAGTCTTGTTAGTTTCATCAAGGAAAAACTATTGAGGAAATTTTGAAACCTGTAGAGGGATGTGAACTTATGAGCATTCTAGGTTTTGTGGATATTAAAAAGGGGAGGTCTTTATTTTTCTTTTATATAATAATCAGAATGTTAGAAATTCGAACTTTGAATATTTCTGGGGTCAAATGTTCTTGGTACGTTTGTAAGATCAAACTTTCCCGTGTGGTTGTAATGTTATCTCCTAGTGTAATGTGATCTCCTAATAGTTAGTTCAGAAAGGCATTTTGAGGGATCTGGTTTTTTCTTCTTCTTCTTCTTCTTTTTATTTTTTTCTTTTTTTCTCCAGTCTGTTCTGAGCTCCTCTTTTTTCCTTTATATTTAATTTAACATTGTACTGTATGATGTGAACATAGGTTCAACATTGATGTTCTTTTTCTATATACTAGTCAAAGTTGAACGTGTGTAAAATACTTGATAAGTGATGTAAAAGTATATTTGATACCAATTTGTTTTAGGATTTGATGAGTCTCGAACGAATTAAAGAAGATAAAATTTAGCATAGAAATTTAAGAGAAAAAATTGTACTTCAATTACACTCTCAAAACTCAATTTTTATGATTTAAATTTTTTGTAATGATGAAATTCTATAAATGAGCAATCGTTTTATATTACATTTGATACATAAAAATTAATTTTTAGTACAAAAATTTAAACACCCGTTAAAATTTTTAGATACATGAATATGAATAAATTCATTTATAATGACTCTAAATTCATGTAATACAAGATTCATCAAGTGAAAATTCATTGAATCTAGATTAATGTGAATGTTAATTAATTGAGAATTAATAACACAAATGTCATAAATGACAATAATTTTTTAGTATTTATTACATATCGGAAAACGAAAAGTATGGTAGTATTGAAATAATTGAATTGTAAAATCGTCCAAAAAAATTATTCTTCCTTGATGTGATATTTTAATATATTATAGATTTCAAGTGGAGGGACATAAATCAAATTGGTATTCCACTTGTTTGCCATTGTTGTTTCCTTATTTTTGCAATTGAACAAAACGTTCAAACTCAACTAAAGGGTTCTAAATTGTTCACTGCACATGTAACTTCCGCAGGGGATACAAATTGTATTGTTCTTGTAGCTCCTCTTCTATTCATCTTATGTAGACCAGCAAAGATCCTTGCCTATTTCCCAAAATTGTTTGTTATCTTCGTTTTTCATGGGCTGCATTTCTTTAACTAGATGGTTTTATATTAACTTGCAGAGGTTCAAAAATTTAGAGAAATTGGAAAGGAAGATGCTCGAGCGGATGATTCAATTCAAGACTTCCCTTCAGATTGTACATACATCGATCCAAAACTCTATCAAGCAGAACCCACCGAGCAGTTACAATCTGGCTTCCATGCACTCGATGCTAAGGGAAGTGAACCAGGCATAATTCTAAATAGCAGGTCACTAGAAGAATCAATGGAGAAAAGAGATGTTGAAACAGAACTTGAGGACCTCTTTGAGCGAAAGATTGAAGCTGAAGTTGAATATATTATAATATCTAGAATGATCCAAAAATTGAAGGTTGTAGTGGATGGACAGTCTGTTTTAGAAAAGCCGAAAACTCTGGCTTCAGAACAAGCTCAGATGCTGAACAGGCTTGGAGATGCAGAAAACAAGGCTACAGCTCTCAGTAAAGAAGCTGAGGATTTGGAGAATTATTGCGAAGATATTGTAGGTGCTGATGAGTCGACGAAGCTGCAGAATAGGGTGTGCAAGTACACTGCATGTTTCTTCGTGCAGTTGGTAATATTGATAATTGTCATGGGACTCTTTATTTTGCGGATATTACCAAATTATACTGGGATTGTTCCCACTTAGTTTTAAAAAGAGCCTCATTTCTCCTTCGTCATCACAAAATTGGCTTCTGGCCTGATTCCAAATCCACTTTGTGACTGAATGGTCGACTAGCACTTAATGTATGGGCTAGCCTCTGGAATTTAAACTATACATGGATGACTGCAGCAAGCGCAATCCAGGATGTGGCACTGGTGGTGGTGTGTCAAGATAATTAATGTGAAGTTATTTTTTCATTTTCAATCACATGGTCATTGTTCCAACTTAGAGGCTCTACAGATGTTTGGGTGGAGTTGGATTCTACACTTGCAACGCTGTCTGTCACTGGGTATGAGAATTGGGCCTTGGAGCTTACATACTTCATTCAGGAAATTAAAAGCTTTTTGCAATTATTTTCTCACAGATTATACATGTAAAATTTTGCCAAGCTTCAGATTGATTAAAAAGATTTAAGGTTCTAGCATAAGAATTAGAGGTGCTGTTTTTTCAGTTCAATATATGATTTTTAGCTTATATTTATGTAATGGAGGCGTTCATATTTTAATTATCTCATTCTATGTATAATTCTCGAAGCTAGGTACCCTTCTCTTCTGTACTTCTATTAAAATCGTGGAAGGGTTCATGCAGACCCCCAACTAGATTCAAGTGGAGATTGTACTTGTATTGTGGATCGGTCACCATCTCACCCTAGGTGAAAACAAGTACTTCATTATGCAGATTGGAATAAGCCATTTGTACAATGGATTTGTACAACATGCTTGACAATGGTGCAGGTTTCAAAAAAGCGTTGATGAGAAAGATAAAGTATTTTTCAAACTGTCTAATGATACTCTGTCATGTGGCATGTTGTCAAACTTTTTGTAAAAATCAGTGTACAACAAGCATGATTCATGCATATTACTTTCATTGTCTCATATGTTACTTTTCAATTTCCGTACATGGATTCTGTATTATAAAAGAAATTATCTAACTGGTTTGTGTATTCATCTGCTAATTCTTACAGGAATGTCTCGAGTTTCATTTAAAGTATCTGGGAGTTGGACAAAATGGTAAAGAGTTGGGATCATTTATTGCTACTGGTCCTCTCTGTTATGATAACGGATAAGCAAATTATTTCAAAGAAAAATTAGTGTGGGTGGCAGTTCTCTGCCCCGCCATTAATTTCACTTACTGTTAAATACATCAGCGAGCAGATGAATCACTTGCTACAACTGGAGCTTTTGTAGGCTAACCAAGCTTAAAAAATTTACTTATAAGTTAATAATTCTTTTGTGTATAATTTATGAGGATGTAGCAGCAGCTCGGCCGATGTTTATCTTGTTCAACTGCTATTTTAGCTTGTTTCTTTAGGTTCATCTTTATTTTATGTAGTGTTCTAAAAGGCGTAATGCGTGATGATACATTGATGTCAAACTAAGGACAATTCAAGATTATGCGAGGCAAACGCGTAAAAAAGTGTTTCCAATTTTAATATTATTTTAAAATTTTAATCAATAAAAAAATTATTTAATAATTATAAGTTATTAAATAATTATAAATTATTAAAGAATTGTTAAAAAAAGGGGAAAAAAGAAAAAAACTAATAATGCGCTCCTCGGTGCGCATAACCACGCCTAGGCACGCATTGGCGCCTTAGTCTCGCCTCACATCCGTTGACAGCCAAATAAGACTCAAAGCACTTTCCTTGACGCCTTAGCCTCACGCATTGGTGCGCACATTAGCTTGCTATCTAGAACACTGATTTTATGGCACGTTAAGATGAGGAAAAGCAGTTGCTACTGCTCGAATTAATTTTAGACTCTAATTTATTTTATTTTATTTTTTTCTTTTCCCGGCTGAAAGTGTAGTATGTGTAGACTGAAGAGTAGAGGCTGAAATTTGTCGCGTGTGGCAGAGTTCCACGTTAGTTTGTACGTAAAGATTAAATGGTCAAGACTGAAATTTGTTTTTGTGGAAGAGTTCCACTTTAGTATATTTGCTTGGTCTTGGGTGTTGAATTTTACTATGTAATTTTTTATTTTTTATTTTTTAATATTTATCATTAATGTTGGGTCTCCATGAAGATATTTGAGTAACCTTTCATGTTCTTGATTGGAGGATTGAATTTTGTCTTGGAGTTATGAAAATCTCAACATGCTCGACTACAAAAATCGAGAGCAGACTCAAAAATCGTTCCAATTAAGCCTAAAAGCCGCATAATAAAAGGATGTGTACAGTTAAAGTGCGATTTCAACTAGTTCGAGTGACAATCTTACGTTGTACCCTAAAGCCCAAGACTAAGGTCGAGCAATTAGCTGCCGAAGGATTGGACATCTATCCATCTTTCCATGCTCCCCTTAGGTGGATGGAATGCTCAATTAATTACAATATAACCATTCCGCGTGTAAAGAAGCACGCATTGAGTTAGTGATAGCTTTTTTATGGTAATGAATAAATTGCATTAAAAGGAAAATTAATTGCAGAGAGTATTTTTACGTAAATTGTGAGGTTGACCAGCACAAAGAATTCCATTTTCCCGTTTTCACACCTAATTACGATTCTGAAAATTTGTCAAATTTTTTTCAAGTTTTGATGTGGAAAAAGATAGGTTTTGCCCCCGCATGGATAAAGATAAAGAAAACTACTTCCGGTTATTCAAATATCTATGGAGTTCTAATTGCATTAAACTTCTCATCTTAATCTCATAGGATTTGATAGTAATCTTATTACATCTTGAAAATCCTAATTAATGCTAAATTACCGTAAGAGATTTTTGGTAATTCCCTAAAATCTGGTTTAGATGAAAAAAGTAGAAGAACGTGACGTGACAGTCAATTTCCATTGTTAACAACTGACTCTTCAATTTCTCTTCATTTCACACTTGTTTTCTTCCTCCAGGATGTCATTTTTATCTCCTGTTTCTTCATTTTCATCACTGATCTAAATGATATGTATATACATACAAAATCACAGAGCTTCTATCTTTTTCTGCTGTTGTTTTTAATTGATTTTATGTTTTCTTTTCAGCTAAGCAAACATCTATGCTTTGCTCCAAAAGATCCTTTCATCTTGGTCAGTGCCTTTTTTTCTTTGAGTCTTTTGTAGGATTATTTCTCTTTTTTCATTTAGTATATATCTTCTTGGAAGTTTGTCTTTTTAAGGGTTTCTGGGCCATTATGTAACCATCCATCTTTAATACTTTTCTTGTTGAAAACCTCAGCTCTCACTTTCTTTCAACCACTCTTTGAGATCATTTTCGATCATTTTTCTATTTGTATACATAATACATATAAATATATATACACACACGCACACTTAAGCTGTGGTTGTTCTTGGGGAGAAGATATTGAGTCACATCAGTTAATGAGAAATCTGAGGTATGTGAACCTGTTTGGGGTAAAAGAAGCAGTGGATAGATAATTAAGTGTTCCTCTGCAAGGTTCATCCACTGAGGGTGAGTCGGAGCTGAAACGAGGCATGGAGGAAGATGGTCAGACTATTGTAATTCAAGAGAAGGATAAAATGTACAGTAAGTTTTGCCCTTTGTGCAATAAAGGATTTAATTCAGGTAAAGCTGTGGGAGGTCACATGAGAATTCACGTTCAGGCCACGAAAAAAGTAACTCAACCCATAAAGTCCAAGAAACGTCTGCGAGAAGATGAAGAAATAAGTGAATCTGATTATGTGAAAAAGAAGCATTATAACAAGAAGCTGAGTTGTTTAATTTGTGGGAAGAAATTTTTATCGATGAAGTCATTGTGTGGGCACATGAGGTGCCATCCAGAGAGGAATTGGAGGGGAATTCAGCCACCTACAATAGCTAAAAAGAGTTCTTGGTCGAAGATAGAACCTAATATTGCCTATAATCAGATTGATTCAATTACTGATGCTGATGGAAATCAATCAATTGATTCTGTCGAGTCTTTTCTTGCTTTGTCAGTGACTGCAAAGAGAGGCATGAGCGTCACATCGGAGTTCTCAGGCTCGGAGGATGGTCAGTTAAATGATGCTGTTCTTAATCTTATGATGTTGGCTCATGGGGGATCATTTGAGAATGGACAATTAAACCGGCAAAGAGTTGTTGAATCTGAGGTCACTAACAGCAATTCACTAACTTATAAGAGTGAAATTGGGGATACTAATAAGGTTTCTGAATCAAAGACTTCAATCGAGGAAAACGGCTCTACTAATCTTGAAGGTTTAAAGATGAGCAACAAAATTGGGAGTTTACTTCAAAAATCAGCCAGCATTGAAGAACACGGGCGTACTAATGCAAAAATGACGATCAAGAACGAAAGAAAGAAAAAGGTGAGATTGAGTGATCTTGAATACAAGAAATATGACGGTCCAGTGACTACAAAGCCTCCCCACGTTAAGTACAATTGCATTACATGCGGCAAGTGTTTCGAAACTCGCCAAGCACTAGGGGGTCATAGGGCTAGCCATAACAAATATAAGACTGCTATTTACAACTCCATCGATCAATCTTCATTTGCAGCTTCTGAGGATGAAATACTTTCGACTGGCATTGTCCAAGTAGACTACGAAAGTCCAGAAATTGCCCAGAAACATCATAAAATTCCGGATTTCGATCTCAATGAGGTGCCTCCATTAGAGAATAAAGCTGGTATTGAGTCTGAACTTGCAGCTGACTTTGATTATGGATCTTCTTAGAACTTTTTTGTTTGGTTCAAGTAATTTCAGCTCATAAGCTAATTCCGACTTTAGTATTATGATTTTAGATTTGCAATTTCGACATCTTAGTTTCATTATATAGGATTTGGTGCAAGTTGATTGGTTCTTTCTTCATTTCATAATTGTTGAAAGTCTTCATGAACTTGTCTGTGTTACTTCAAGTAGAACTTGATACTTCAATTTTATTTTATTTTTCTTCTACAACTTCTGTTTTGAAAGAAAAAATGTGTACAATGCATGATTATGCAAGCAACATCCTCTCTTTTGACACGTAAAGCATTAGATGACAGTATTTAATGTTTTTTCTTTAATATTAGCAAGCCCAATACGTCCCCAAAAGATGCCATTGGTTAATAGATTACGTCAATTTACCTCGTCAACTATGTGATTTGTTGGATTGCACTTTGGTTTGAATAAGCAATAAAAATATCAGAATGGATTCTGACTATTGTGTTTTGAAATCAAGAAAAAACATCATAACCGGGTAGTGGAGGTCCAAATTGGAGATTTGTTATCTGGCAGAGAAAGAATTGATAGAGATACGAAAAGTCAATATACTTAGCCCCAGTTTGTTTCGATTTTTTCTTCACTAAAATGAAAAATATGATCGTTATTTATCACATCAAGTCATCAAATTTGAATTTCTATCTCTTGTGTGGGACCCATAACAACTATATTTTTCATTCTCATTTTTACATTAATGTGTACCAAACGGGGTAATATCAGAATTTTATTTGCAAGGAGATGGAGGAATTAGGCATCTATTCAACAAACAAGTTCAACAACCTACTCTAAATGCGTGGTCGAATGACTTGTTCGATAAATTTTGCTAAAATCTTATTAACTTTATAATTGATCAAATTTCATGAAATCTATAATTTTATTAACTTTTCATCATCGACATGTTGCATTAATTGTTGTCAAAATTTGCCAAAATTTTTGTCAACCTTTGTGACTTAACATACAAGAAACTTGTGAAAAATTAAACGGTACAAATACAAATTTCCATAATAAACTATTGGAGTCTATTCTAAAATTTTCTATATTTAATTAAATTTGTGCTTGACTAAGAAAATAATATTTTGGTTTACTTTTATATCATAAAGAACAAAAATAAAGGAAAAAATATTTTCAAAAGGAAAATAATGTTGTAAATATAGTAATATTTTATGAATAACTTTTATATTCTTACAATCTAGTCATTATGATTATTGTATTCCTTTTAGTCCTAATTCTTCCATATAAATATGGCATTTTGATTTTTATTTACACAAGTGTGTTTACTTCTCTCTTTTGTTGTTTCTTTTTTTTCCTCTAGTTTATAATACGTTATCAGCATAATTTTCTCAAAATCAAAGTAAATTGTTAGAAGGTAATAATTTTTGTAAACATAATTATCTGTCATATCACATGTACTAAAGTAAATTTTGTGACATCTGAATTTTTTGGATGTACATATGCAACGAAGTTGCTTCTTCACTGTTTTTCGTTTGTATGCACGTGTAATTTGTGTGTGTGTGTGTGTGTGTGTGTATGTGTGTATATATATAATTCATGGTTTATTAAGTAAATTCATGCTTTATCATTAATTCTTCCTTTNAGCTCGCTGCTTCGCAGGCGGAGGTGGAGCGGCTGAAAAAAGAGCTCTATGAGGTGGAGTGCCAGGTGGCTGCGGTGACTCGGTGGCTTGACCACGCTAATGAGCACCACAAGCTTGCCACTAATGCCCTGGAGGCCTCCAACAGAGAAAAGACGGAGCTGAAGCAGCAAGTAGAGGCCCAGTCAGTGGAGATTGCTTCTCTGAGGGAGGAGTTAAAGTCAGCGGGGGATGTGGCGGTTCAAAATTTCATTGATCACTTCGAGGACCACCCCCTTTATGACGACTTCGCCAACTTCTGGGCCTCGTGGAATGCCCAGAGCTTATTGGGTCGGCTAAAGGAGGTGCACCCCACACTGGACATCTCTCAACTAGAGGCGGAGTTTGGGGGACCCACTGGAGGTCGGCCTGAGAAGGTTAACGAGGAGGTTCCAGAGGCCCAGGAGGCGGCCAGTGCTGAAGTTGCTCCCTCAGATTAGGGTTTCCTTTGTAATGGCTTCGGCCCCCATGTACTTCAATTTCATGTAATGGAAAATTGTTACATTTCTTTTTCAAGTTCTTCCGCTTCTGCTTCTTTGTATCTCTTTTTGTTTTATACTTGTATGAATGACAAACATTAGGCTGACTGCCTCGTGACAATGACCAATTAACAATTGTGAATCGGTTTCCTTAAGCGAACACAAGTCAGCACTTAAGTGGGTTGGAAGTGACCCCTTACCTTAACCTCTTAATAATCTGAGGCCAGAGCAATTAGGAAAATGCGAGGAAACGTTTGTTCATCAGCTAATAAGTGACGATAGAATCACTCAAATGAACATTTTGAAGAACTGAGGAAACCTTTCCTTGGCTGACCCGGTTTGGAACTGAAAATTCGTTACTGAAGATAAGTTGCACCCCTTAAAAACGACGATTCCATCATTTAATAATCTTTACAACCAACGTCGGATCAGTACAACTGATTTAGTTATGACGACCTAGGATCAAATTGGAACATTCTTGTTACTGGTAATATTTTCTCAAGTGCTCTATGTTCCACTTGTGAGGTAACACCCTTCCAGACATATCTTCGACCTCGAAAGTACCAGGTCGGGATTCTCCCCGAATGCGGTACGGGCCTTCCCAGTTTGGGCTAAAGACTCCTGACCCGGATGGTTTCGAAGATTGGAACACCCTTTTGAGAACAAGGTCGCCCAAGCGGAGAGTTCTGTTTCTAACCTTGGAGTTGTAAAAGCGGGTCATCTTACGATG